GGATTGAAATAGTTATGTGACCCCAAACAAAACCTTAACCTCTTGTCTGAAAAGAGTCATATTTTACTTCTCCAAGAGCTCTTCCTGGTGATACCATTTGATCCTGGTGTAGACATTAATTACTAAGCTCTGTTTTCATATGGAAAAACTAAGGCTCCATGGGGCAAAGTTTAATTATCTTAGAAATCAACTTAGTCTCATCCTTAGAAGCTATTTTGTCCAATCCCCCATTTTACACATTGAAAGACTAAGGCCCAGAAAACTTATGAGACGTAACTGAGGGTTCACAGACGGTCCGGTGGCAGAGGTGGGACCAGAACCTGGGCCCTCTGACGGCGCTGGGTTTGAGATAACCCTGAAAAGTAGACAATCTCAGACATTCTCAGATTCTGTGAAATGTGTATGGACCTCTGGCTTCACAATGACCTTTGTAATTTCCTGTTTTAGGAACTGTGTGTGGTAGTTCAGTTTGTGTGTTAACTTGGCTGGGCCTGGTTGAGTGGCTGGGCAGCTGATTGTAGTATTCTTCATGATGAGACTGGCAATCAACTCCATGGTGGAATCTACTGTGAGCAGCTGAGTAGCTGCCTTAGGGATGTGGTCGACCTGCTTCAGGTATATAAGGAGAAGCCTTGGGGACAGTCTCTAGTTTATGGCATGCTTGAATCCTGCATGTATCTGAGTCGCTGTTCAGCAGCCTGCCATGCTCTGTCAACCTTGGGACTTTCAATGGACTTGAATTATGGCCTGCCCTGTGGTTTGGTAACATTGGGACTGTGCCTTTTTACTTGTCAACCTTGGACTTGGCAGCCTCAGCAGCCAGTAGCTGTCTGGGTGAAAAAAAAACCTCTAGCTTCACTGGGCCGGGAGCAGGAGACAGAGCTGAAGCCTAAGGCTGAAGGGCTTTCATCCCGCCCCTAGAGCCTGGTACTTCAAACTCAGACTTACAGCCTCCAAACTGTAAGAGAATGAACTCCTGTTTGTTAAGGCCATGACATTTGTGATATATTCCTGTCAGAGTGGTATAGGTAACCAGAACACTGTGCTTGACACAAAACCAGTTTTGCCACCTAGGTCCCCAAGGCCTGTGACTCTGCACTTTGTATTTCCTCCCAGGTGAGATGATTCTGAATGAAGTAAACAGACCAGCCTCAGACTACAGGAGAAGGTTGTCGGAGGGCTTTTTGGTTAGCTGTTTTCTCAAAGAAGAGTGGAGGAAGAAA